ACGACTACTCTACCTATACTTATACAGTTTTGATGCCTAGAGGCGTACATGGTCAGGGGCGTCAAAATGACCACCAGCAAATACCTTGCCGTTCTATTTTAGTTTGGAAGGTATAAATCACCCTGGTATTTAAAGCAATAACCCGTCTAACCATTCGTACTCACCCAAGTTTTTATACTGTTACTCACTGTTACTTATTAGAGTCACTTAATAACAACAGTCTGGCCATACGGCTAGTAGCGGTCATGTTCAACCTTTAGCGAGACTAGCGCATTTATACATATAGGAAAGATATAATAAGACATTTGCTTAAAAACTGACTGCATAAATAGAGAAATAAGCCTAACAAGTAATTCATGTAGCATATGCTTGTTGAGTTGAGTTACAAATCGCTTCATTAAAATATTACATACGATATTTTAATATCATACAAAACCATTTATAAACTGATTTGACTTTTTTATAAAATTAAAATATGTAGCACTAATTAATATGATTGACTGTTCACTTCATATATAAACATTATAAATCACATTAAAAGTAAAACAATGTTTGTCGCGTGCTTAGGGGAAACATATATAGCTTTCGTAGATATATTTTTGTAAATAGAACTTTTGATAACTTCGTAAGGTAACTGTTTAAATTTTAGCGCCCTTGACATTATAGATTGGTATAAAGGAAAGTAGTCTATTTCGTACCTCTTCAATTTCTCTTATTTTAGAACATGTTCCACCATCTATTGATTTAAAGGGAGTGTTATTCTTTCAGAAGCTCATTTTTGAATTTAAAGCGGCACTGCAATGTACCTGTATTTTGTTTTGTTTTGGTGCACACTGATGTGTTATTTGCATAGTAAGGATTAAGCGTTTGTAGTTTGAAACTGTAATATTTTAAAGCTTTGTCAACCTATATTGAAAATAGACAGTGTGGAGAATATTTCTACTGCAAAACATTTTAATAAAACGTTCGAATAAACNGTCGTGGTCGAAGGTCTTCCAGCACGGTCTTCATCGGCGACCTCTTCCCGGCCCTCTGAAAAGGCCTAGTGCCACCGAAACACACCACTTCTTGCTAAAGCAACATCTGGGTAAGCCTGCTTGATCATATCAAACGTCTCTGTCGCAGATTTAGCGAGTTTCACACAGAATTTAATCGCGTACCTCTACGAACGCTGCATTTTCGGCTTGCACACTAACAGAAACACGTCGCGCAAAAAGCCTGTTCTAACTCTCCAGGTGTTCGGAGAAAACTCACTAGCCGCTCGTTCGTTAGCTAGGAATGCCCTCTACCGAATCCAGTCGTTGCGGTACAGTCGCGGCGGAAGGAAATCAGTCCTATTACTTTCCGGACAAACCCTGTATATATATTTCACGGGTATGCACCCTTTTTCAAAATATGTACAAAATATGTTAAACAAGTTAAACAATACTATCACAGTAAATATATCTTAAATAACATTAACATTGCAGAGTTAAAAATGAGATATAAATCGATAAAGATAAAGATATTGCATCCTAGTTTTGAGGCATTGAACACAAAGACGGAGTACAGAATAAGAAAGTAAAAATAAAACGTAGAACAGAGTAAGAAAGTAATAATAAAGAATTAAAGAAAAGAAAGTAAGACGACAGTGAATCATAAAAATAAATAATAGTAGATCAAAATACATCGCCATCAGAACATATGCTACGAATGAATTTTTTGAAAAGAAAAAGAGATTGGTTGAAGTCGTCCCTGGAGGACAGGGTGTCATTCGCAGTCTTTAAGATTCGGTGGATTGTATTGCCTCGTCTGAAGTCAGATCTACAAAACGGTGTGCTGAACAGTAGCGGACGTCTCGTAGCTCGTGTCGGTTCGTTGAAGTGAAACAACTCGAAAAGCTCAATACAGGAGATAGAGCCATTGATGACAGCATATAAAAAGAGGAAATCAGAAATTCTGCGCCTCGTTTGTAGTCGTGACCCAACAGAGACATTGGTTGACCTGCTTTAAACATGACGACCTCAGGAATTTATGTTGCACAGTCTCGATAGATTTAATGTTGGCATCAGCGTAGGGACTCCATACCACAGAGGCGTATTCAAGATGGGGGTCACGTAGAGAGACCTGATAGTGGTAGGGTTCTTGAAGAACTTGCTGTTTCGGATAAAGAAGCCTAGAGTTCTGGAGCCCTTGGCGATCAGCTCGTTCACGTGAAGATTAAATGAGCCGTTGCTGAGGTAATGAACCCCGAGATCAACCATTATCTTTGGAGTTCGATATGGGGAAGTTGAAGTGCAGGACGTCACGTTTCCGAGTGAAACGGACCACTTTGCATTTAGACACGTTCAGTTGTAGGTGGTTATTGCAGCACCAGACGGATAGATGGTCGAAATCGTCTTGGAGGGCGTGGGCATCATGAAGGCTATCAACCGTGTGGAACATCTTGGCATCGTCGGCGTATATCAGGATCTATCTTCCCAAACCGGATGGAACGTGGCAGGTCGTTGATCACTATGTTGAATAGGATTGGACCAAGATGTGATCCCTGACGGAGCATGGTGTAGAGCACCAACTGGCCATCTAGGTCAACAGTGTAGGTCCGGTTTTGCAGATAAGAGGTCAGCCAGTTCAGAAAAGCATCGTGGACTCCCCTGGCCTCCATCTTCCGAAGAATGATGACATGATTCACACGATCAAACGCTTTCGCGAAATTAGTGTAGATCACGTCGATCTGGTGATTGTCCTCTAGGTTTTCATAGAGGTATGAGTTCAACAAGACCAGGTTCGCCGTTGTTGATCTGCCAGATCAGAAACCATGTTGTTCCTCGCAAAGGATAGAGTCCAAATGGGGTTGGAGCATGGTGGCAATCAGCTTTTCGAACAATTTGGGGATGGAGTTGATCAGAGCTTTCGGCCGATAGTTCCTGATGTTCGTTCTGTCACCTGATTTGAGGATTGGACGTACCAAGCTATTTTTCCAGGCCATCGGAAAAATACCAGTCTCCAAGGACTTATTGAAGAGTATCCATAGTGGAGTGGTCAAACCAAAACGAGCAAGAGTCAAGAACTGATTTGGAATCCTGTCGGGTCCTGGGCCAGACTGTGGATCTAAAGTACGTAGGCCATCAAAAACGTCAGCCAGACTGAGCGACACCTGGGAGATGTTCAAGGACCTGGGAAAATTGAAGATAGTCGTTGGAATTTGCGGTGGATTGCAGACGAAGACAGATTGAACGTACGAAGCAAAGAGGGCGGATGCATCAGGTGAACAAGAGGCAGCAAGTGAGCCAGTTTTTCACAGACTCTTCACGAATCCGAAGAATCTTTTCGGGTTAGTAAACACTGCCTCCTCAGTTTTCTGCACATATTGTCTGAACAGGAAGTTCGCATAATTAGAGGCTAATCTGCGAATTCGAAGGAAGTCTGTTTGGTACCGGTCCAACCCTGTCCTTTTGAAGTTGTAATAGGCTGATTTCTTCTGCCGTATAAGCTGTTTAAGGCGACTGTCAAACCAGACGGGGAACGAGTTAACTTTTACAGTTTTGCAAGGAACGTGTTAACGGATGACTGTAACCACAGCTTCTTGATCTGATTTATAGCAGGTTTTTATTGAGGAAAATTCGACCTTTTTCTTAATTAATTTAAACAATGTGATTTCCAAATTGGAATTCACTTAAAATAATTCGTTAAAGGTCATTCCGAATATTCGCTCCATTTGAATAAAATATTCAAATATTTCTGCATTCGCATAAAATAAATTAAAATACGGTAAAACTTCCGTATCACAGCTTTTTCGAAAATGTAACTTTTTCTTGTTGGAAATGACTTAAAATGATCTAATTATGAAAAACCTTCATGAAATAATCGGGAGGAAGGGGTTTTTAGTAGCTTTTATTGCAAATAAACATTTTTTTAATTGCACTTCACATCAGTTATTAACATTTTGGCAATTGCCGTTAACGGTTAAACTGTTGTAGTACTCCTTTTAGTTAGAAAAGGGCCATTTGTAAGAAACTTAGGTTAAAAGAACAAGGGGAAGGTATTTTAAACAATTTTCTTTCCAAATAATTTACCCTAGAATAAAATAAACCCTATCGTTCGCCTATAACTGCGGCAATTTCTTTTCAACGGCCAGAAAACTCGAAATCAAATAATACTTGTACTGAAAATGATTTTAGCAGGTGCCGCTAACGGTTAAACTTTTGTAATACTGCTTCTAGTTCAAAAAATTCTATTTATAAGAAACGTATAGGAATTTCACTGACGCTTATCATAGATAAAAGTCATTACTTAACCGTTTCTGATTTCGCTTCCACAGTTTCAGTTGCATTGGCTTAAAAAGTGATATTCGCTCAACAGTCGTTTATACAATATAAATAGATACAAATTGTTTCCATTCGAGGAAGGTGTAGGTACAATGCATTTTATCTGTACCTTCCTCGAATTGAAACAATTTGTATCTATTTATATTGTGTAAACAACTGTTAAGCGCATATCACTTTTTAAGCAAATACAACTTGAACTGTGGATGCGAAGTCAGAAACGGCTGAGTAATGACTGTTATCAATGACAAATGACTGCCATGTTCGCATAGGTTATAGCTATAAATTATTTATTTGGAAAGAAAATTGATTAAAACGTCTTCCTCCTATTTTTTCTCCTGCATTTTTCATAAATATACTAAATTAAGCAAAACAAAGTACTTTCATAATTTTTAATTTAAGCTATTCCTAAAAGATGTCGTTTTCGGAAAAGGCGACTGCTTTAGTTAAGTATCAATATAATCTGTCAACTGTGAAATGAAATACCATTAAGTTTACAATAAAAACCCCAGAGCTTTATGAAAATTTTAAACTCTTACTAGAATTTTACCAAAATCAAAGTAAGATTTGATTATTTTTCTAAAATAAATAAATATTGCCACTTTTCCTTTTCCTTCTTGTGAGGAATAGGATCTGAAACATTATTACATTGCATTATATTAATATCCATCAACTGAATTTCCTGAGAAGACAAACAACCTTTAACCAAAACCTTTATTTAATATTATATACTTTACAAGAATTAAAATGTTCTATATTGGAAAAATCATCTGCTGCTTCATTCATTTTTACTTCTAAACTTATGAAATATAACAATATTCACGCAATTATTTACGATAGAAATTGTTCTTAAAAGTACTTTTTTGTTTCTTCAAATTTTTTCCAGTATCTGAATCTGAATTTTCACTATCATATTTCCTCTTTTTGCTATTCTTTTTTTCTTCTTTAGCTTTCTTTTCTAGTTTTTCTAACTTTTTAAGTAATGCCTTTTTTTGTTTTTTATTTAATGAATTCAAGAAGGCCACCTCTGAATGTTCAGAGTTGTCTTCTACAACATACATTTCTTTTGCAGACTCTGCTTCACTTAGATGATGTTTCTTTAAAGCTAACCCATCGTCCAACATTTGTTGAACTAGCATTTTTTGATCAATTATTGGTCCAGCTTCCAAAGACCTTGCAGCACTCATTGACATACTATACATTGGGCATTCTTTATCTGTATTAATATGGCCCCATTTGTGGCATTTTATGCATCTCACATTTCTTACTTGAATACCAAAAGGTTGATCTTTAATTTCTTGATCGCCTTTACAGTAACTTTCTCTAGGTGCATTGTATTTTCGCTGCCATTCAAACTTGAATTCAGGTTCCTGCTCTTCACCATCACGTTCTTTCCGGGCCCCAGGAGGTGGCTCATACATAAAACTAATACTCAGTTTGTCTTTGCTTTCTTTACTTAGCATTGCCTTATTATCATGCAAATCCTGTTCTTTCTCATATTGCTGTCTAAGCTCTTCTTGACGTTTCTTATAAGCTTCTGCTTTTTGCTCAGCCATCCATACTCTTTTTAAGTTATCTCTCGAAGCAGGATGGAAAAACTTTTTACACATATAATTATTGAATCCTTTACCCATTTTTACAAATTGCGAAACCCAAAAACAGACGTGAAACTATCCAAATACAATAATAATCAGCTCTCAATCGACTTTAATGATTGTTGTGAAATAGTATCAATCATAAACATCAACAAGCACTGAACCATAGTACTGAACAAGTATTTACAAGTAGTACAAATGTCAATAATAGATGACAACTTATCTATGGATGGCAACTTCCCACTATGGTCAGCATCTATGACGGAACATCACTTGAGATGGGTTCAACCATTGACATATGTTAATAGCATGCCTTAGCCGTATGTCGTAATAATTTCTTGGCTCGAAAAGTGACATGCTTACGCACTATCGTGAGAGAGATGGATATTGTCCGAAACTTCATTCCACCTCTTTCTTTCGTTGTACCACAATTCTGACCGCCAAGGCATGTCCATTAGTAAACGTCGATGGATTCGACCATAGACATATATTAATGGACGTACCTTAGTCGTATGTCATTATAATAATTTCTTGGCTCGAAAAGTGAGGGAGATGGCGTATGGTTTCGGATTAATGCTATCTCTTTCATGACACGCTTAAGCACTATCGTGAGAGAGATGGATATTGTCCGAAACTTCGTTCCATCTCTTTCTTTCGTTGTACCACAATTCTGAGGCACGTCCATTCACAGCCGTCTCTACTTACAAGCCGTGCTGAAGGTTTACTTGGCAACACTGAGGGAGTCCCAGGATTTCCCAGCTAATGAGAGTTAAACTAATGCATTGGTTGTTGTGTTTCTTTCGTTGTTCTATAATATTTTAATTTTAGCGGAAATATCGTGCAATAAGGATGCTTATAGTGTGTTTTAGTGATTAATACCTTTGGATACAGTTTTTAATTGCAGAAGGTAATATTAACTATTAAGTGAAAGAAGTGAAAATGTTTTAGGTCAGACTGTGTGTTTGTTGTAAATTTTCTTGTTTATTTATTAACAAAATGCCTCGTCGTTGTTGTGTTCCCAGTTGCAATTCACTCCAATTCAAATTCAGCTAACTTGTAAGACATCAGAAATCCGTAAATTAAAGTTTAAATTGTATTTAATTTTTTCTAATGGAGTGGCACGGCTATTGGCGAATCCCAAAAAAAAAAGGTAACGCGCCGTGGCAATACCTCAATGGTGGTGTGGAAATTTGCCTTAATAAAATTACAATTATCGAGATGAAATTCATGTAGGTACCTATCAATGTTTACCTAATCTATTGTCTTTTCTATTTTGTTTTTAATACCAACATGTTGAAGTGTATTTTAAATAACGTCACATACTATAAATGATTAATAAATGTTAGTTGTTTAATAATACAATTCATTTTTATCGTAATAGGTGTCTAAAAATCGTAAGTAACGATGTGTAGTAATAACAACTAAGACTCGCAGAATAGGACTCTCACATCGAAGCAATGCGCTGTTGCCAAATTTCTCAGCATGGCTTGTATTAGAGACGGCTGTGCTTGTATTAAAGACGGCTGTGCTTGTATTACAGACGTCGATGGGTTCGACCGATACAAATACAAAATCGACCGGCGCGAAATACCTATATAGCGGATAGTCCGTTATTTTTGTTCATATTTGTTTAAGGCACTTTCCAAATACATATCCCTGTTAGTACTCATCATTCATCAATCATCTTGTATTAGGTATAAAAAAAACAAAGCATTACAAATAGGCAGTTGTGAGTTAAAGAACTCCATGCAAAATGCATTTGATTAGTCAAAAAGTTGTATAAAGTATACTTTTGTAGGAATTCAAATAAGGTTAAAAATGGCCTGAATGGTAATTCTAATCTTTTTGAAACTATTATGTCAGTAACTTGCATAAAACGAATAATTTATAATCAAAATTGTATCTTGACCAACACCATAATAATAATAATTAAATTAATATTGTATTACCTATTATCAGGATATTTAAATCAATCACAACCATGTTCATAAATTCAGAAAACTTTTTATGTCTAACAGTAAACCATCCAATATTTCTTCGGCGTCTATATCAATTTTTTTTTTAAATTTAGCCTGCATTTGAATCTCCAATACCTACTTAAGTTGTACAGTAAATTACTTATTGGTAAACAAAGCAATTTTCACAATTTTTGGAAAGAAGACTACATTTTGCCTGTCTTTGAAACGGTGATGTACAATATAAAAACAATTATTGTATAATTTCGATTTTAAACACATTATCCAAATTCTTCAATGTTCTTATTGCGTATCTGTAGCAATTGACTTTTTCTAGAGAAAAACAATCACTCTACAATAACTAATCTAATGTTGCAAAGTAATTACATTCCTCCTCCTGTCAGTATATTGGAATTTAAAATAGATAAAGCCTTGATATGGGTATGAAAGAATTATAACACATAAAAATACGAGATAAAACACAAAAATCGATTTCACGAATGTATATTCTCTTTATGTTCAAATAAGTTATCAACAGATACAACAACCAAAATCACACATGTAAGTAAAATAAATATGGTAAAATATAAACGTGCTAAGACTTAGCTTACGATTGCAACAATATTTGTTTAACTAACAGCACTAGGTGAGATAAAACGGGTAATAATCCATTAATCAGTAAACGAATGCTTTCACAAATCCGTAAATTGCGTCATGGCTGCTTTTACTCTGAAGAAAGAAATAATAAAAAGACACATTATTGCTAAAGAAAAGTAAGAAATATACTAATCACTATTGTGCATTCAAAAACATGTTTTAAATAGAAAAGCTTTATAAGAGCTTAAGATATAGCCCCTAAATAGTGAGTGATAAGTTTTCTAAAATATATAGCCAACCAAATAGCATAGTCAGCTAAGTAAATATTGGAACTGGTTGCCGGTATCATTCTATTTATGTTTTTTATTTGCTTCAGAATAAATATTACTTATTTTTCTTCTAATAATTTAAAAATGTAATTAGCTCAAAAATGTACAAAAACGGCGAAATTGCACTTTTATACAAAAAGGCTAAAATATACTAGATTGGTGCAATTGTACCACTCTGGCAACACTGTTCGCATGCCGTAACAGAAAACAGCATAACGCTCTTTTATGACGACATGCCCTCTCTACGCCAACGCTCTAGACTCCCTTGTGCGTGTGATATACCATAGTTTCTTTTTATTTATTACCAATATTTCTTTATAGGTTTTTATTAATTATAAATTCTATTAGCAACCTTTTATAAAAATGAGACGCGTAATATTTCGGTATTTGAGGAAAAACTCGAAACCTATCGCCTTTAGAGAAAAATATTCTATACAAAAGTTATTAAGGTGACGATTTTAAAGGTAGAAACGTCTTTGCAAAAATTTTTTTCATTGTTTAAATAGGCAACATAGAAAAAGTTAGCCGTCACGGAACGACCGTCAATGTGAAATATAAAAGTTGATAATATAGAAGTTTTAGTTTCGTTTATACATATGTTATAAATATATATTTGACAGAATCTACTTTTGTACGTATTTTTATTTCTTGGAAACAAAGATCGTAATTGTCTAAATTTGAACGTTTTTAAGTTTTAACCAAAATAGTATTTATTTAATAATATTAACAATACAAATCGACGAATCTCTAAATAAGGGACTTATTTTTACATCACAAAGAATACTCTCCAACAGTTAACCATCACTTACTGTCAGAAAAACGTAACTATCCTTTTCTATTTTTTACAAAGTACTGTAAATCATCCATCTCATAGAAATTTATTAAATTTAAAATTAATGACTACTTACTTATCAAAAAGCAAACTATCAGGTGTAGAAACAAGCTGATGTAGTATTGTGAGTACTCCCATATCACGAAGTCGTTGCTGTCGTTCCAGTGCGCCCGCCTCTCCTCGACGTACCAAGTTTCCTATACAAAAGATAGCAGCGGTCTGAAGCCGCGTCGACGGATGTGTCATATAATCTGTTAGTTTCTTGAGTACATCCTCGTTCGCCATTATATAATCTTTTGCCCTTTCTCCATCTGCAATGTTCGCCAAAATGCAGAGTGCCTGTTCTTTTACATCGGGCGAATGAGGACCTTCCAGCACCAAAACAACAGCTTGCATTACCTTAAAACAGAACTCTATGAAAAGCAAAGAAATTGTTAGTAAAACAGAGACTATTGCTGCATCTATCCTCATGTTGCGATGCCATAAGAATTATTTATGTTTAGCAGTACACCATCCTTCGCTGTTTGGTCGCTTTTTATAATTTATTTATACTTCTATATATATGTCCCGAATAGGACCCTTGCTTTTCTAGGGAACTTGTTTCTGTGGTTACCTTAATTTGATGCAAAACAATATTAACTTGCCTTCACTCAAATTTCTAAATTTTCGTATAGAGTGACCCAAAAAGTACGCAATATACTCATTGCAATTCAACTTTAATCTAAGAATTTTTCAAACAAAACCTACATGTGATTTACTATAGTGTTCGAAAATAGAAAAAATAAGGTTTCGTTTAATTGGCAGCACAGCTAATTATGGGTCCAATTGAAGAAAAAAGTTATTCAGAATGCCAACATATGGCAAATGTTTTCTTTTTGAAGTAAAACTTCTTTAGGGACGTTGGGAGTAAAATCTCAAGGCCATGAAACGACACGTTTTGTGACGTTTTGTCTCGCAACGCAATAGCCTATGAGAATAGAACGGCGCGCATGCACATATCGGTATTACAGTAAGCTGTTAGTGACTGGCATCTCATATATTATAGTATACTGTATATTCACTAAACTATAGGGCTAAATTAATGTTTTGGTTATATCTGTGCAGTTATATTACAGTGTGTGTATTACAGTAAATGTTTATTTAAGAACAATGAATATTTATTTGGCAGTNGTGCTAAAATAATGTTTTGGTTATATCTGTGCAGTTATATTACAGTAAGTGTATTACAGTAAATGTTTATTTAACAACAATTAATATTTATTTAAGAGTGAGTATTACTATGTATTAATTCTAATTCCTTGTAGTTATTGATAGTTTACGGTTTCTTAAGCACTTGGAAAAATACTGAATTACATAAAAACGTATTAAAGTAATACTCCTTAGGTGGACTAAAGATAAAATATGTTGAAAAACAAATCCTAAAAATTCTAGTATTCTCTCTTTCGCCAATCATTACTTATTCGTTATAAAGGTATAGAGATCGCCAATGAAGTTTCACTTCTTTCACGTGTACTGAGTTGTTGGCTGACCTGTTTTATTTTTTTTTATTTTTTCGAGTCAAACGGCCCAAAAAGTTCGCAATATGCTCATTGCGACCAAACTGCAAGCTTAAACGAAACGTTTTTCAAACGAAACTTACTTCCACTTTTAATACAAGATCATCTATAGCATCTAAATTTAGTTTACTATACAGTGTTCATAAATAGAAAAAAGGTTTCGCTTATATGGCAGCCCTATGAAATATAGGTCCGATCTAAAATGGTTATAGAAAAAACTTGTCCAGAATGCCAAAAAGTGGAACTATGCAAAAAATGCGGTGATATTCAAATGTTTTTCGATTCAGTTCGGGTGACTCATAAGGTTCACAAAAGCCTTAACTGAATTAAAATGAATGAAATGAGACAAATTACTAACAACAAAAGGTCACCAGTGACATGTCTTTTGCCTATTTCTGATTTGAAAATTATCAATGCGAATTACGTGTCCACAAATTATCATTTTCTTTATGGTAATTAGGAGTTAGTTTCTATTCATTTGTCTTATTTATTTACCACAGTCTATTTTTGTTGTATTCTATTTTTGTAACTAAATTATTAATGTTCTTTAAATAGGTATCTAATAAATATATTATAGATACAATATATATTCCAAACAAACCTGTGATCCATGCAAAGCCATCATAGTATCGGTATGAGCTCGCGGTGATACCAAATTCCGTAATAATCCAAGAGTTTTCATCAAAACGCCAGTGTCAGAATCCGCCAGTAATCGAAATATCTGATCCGTACCGAGTGCAGTTAAAATTTGCGATTTGACTCTTTGTTCCGATTGAAAGGCCAGGTTCATCAATGCCCAAACGCCGTTCAAACGTAGCGATGCCTCCGGCCGTGTCGTAAGAGTTGCAAGCAATTGTACCGCACCTTGTTGCAACATAGGCTCCTTAGCCGGCGAAAATTCTAACAGTAAATTGCAAAGAGCAGATGATGCTGCACTAAGAAGTTCCGGGGGAGGTGAACCTGTCGCGAAAACTTTATTTTCCTAAGTGGAAAAATAAAAATTAAAAATAGTATTCAATACCTGTTAGAAGGGACATGAGAGGTCGCCACACTGAGTGATCTTGAAACGTGGTACGTAACTGCTGAACAGATCGACTTAGAGAATGTAGACAACGAACTGCTGCTAATCGAATGCCTTCGTCTTCATCTCCAAGACCTTCTACTACACGCCCCATTAGTCTGTTGGTTTCTATTATCCTTTTACGAATATCTTCGTCGTTGGCGCCTAGCGACGCAAATGCTCTGCAAATATCGACGGAGTTGTTTCTTCAAACAGTTTCCGTTATAACTTTCGTGCAATTCATTGAACTAAAGTAATTTATTATTTACCATTAAAAATTGGCAGATATAACGCTTAACTTTCTGACGTAATTTTATCACGAACAATAAATGTATGTAGTTCTTAAATAAAATAATTCTATTTTCATATCATATCTTCAATGGTAGTAACAACCTTACACACAACACTGAACGACTAAAAAACACCTTTTCACATTTTGAAACTTAACAATTCAATATACATACATATGTATCATTAACTTTAAAGTTACTAAAATGTATGCATAAATAATTTAATAATTTTAGTGTTTTCATTTTAAAGAATTCAAAACTTAAGTTCGATACTGTATTGTTAAATCCTTTTAATAAGTAAATAATACCTTCATTACATATATCGTCTTTGCCGTCAACTGTAATTATCTATTAACTAAATTAGTAAATAGCATTAGGTATTAATAACAATAAAAAGAATAAAATAAATACCTGAAGGCAGCTCTGCGTGCCGCTGTGTCTGAAGAATTAAGAAGATCAGTCAATGATCCTATTAGTTGATTACTGATGGCAGCAGTTTGTTGTAGTTCACTGTCAACTTCTGTTAAATATCCTAAATTTTCAGCAGCAGCAATTCTATATGGAAGTGCATGCTCAGCCTAAGAGATTTTAAACATAAATTTACCAGTTATATTACATTTCATACCTACTGTAATGTAATTTCTGGTAAATTGAAATGGATATGAAATATAATGTCCAACAAATGATCCCCCTGCATTGATAAATATTGATCTACTTATTTTGAATATCAATTACTTACTTGACAAAGCCTTACTAAACACGGCAAGGTCCTGTTAGCAATAATTGTATCAAAAGCACTTAAAGCCCCAGCCCTATAAATGTTTGTAAGACATTTGGATGCTTCCAATTGCATTTCAATTGGCTTGTCTCTGCTCAAAAGAGATACTAGTAAATTGGGAATCATCACATCATGATACACAGTATTTGCAACTTCTGCAGCAACTTCCTTATTCTCATAACACATCGCTGCTAAACAAGTCAGAGTTGGAATCCTCACAGCTATATGTTGCATACATAACATTACAGCAAGAACCTGAGGTGCACCTGCTGCACAAAGTGCCTTCTGCTCAACTGGTCCTTTACAAGCACAACTTAAAATAGTAGCCACACATGCCTGCCGTGGTATATTTTCAGATGGATTAACAAAACTAAGTAACTTTTGCAACTGTTGCAGTGTATATGTTGTACTTAAGGATCCTTTATCATGTAAAGCGAGAGTTCGTAAACAACACAAACAAACATCAATCAGTAATTTTTCATTTTCTTCTAAAATTTCAAGAAGTAAAGGAATTGTGCCACAATTTAACAGCAACTCAACATGATCTGCCATGCCTTTCGCTAGTGAACCGATTATAACCGCTGCTTCAAGTCGGAGATTTGTTTTCAAATTTCTATCCTTCAAAATCTGCATTAAACGAGGTACTATACCCTGTGCAATGACACTTTCCTTTTGACGATTTGACCCGATAACAGAATTTTTAATGCAAATCAAAGATTCTAAACATTTATCGGAATCTGGTGAGTACAAGTCGTCAATATAGGCTCGTGAACTCTCAACATTCTGAAAATTAAAAACAAAAAAATAACTCCATATTAAGGTTATATATTTCTATATTACCACAAAAGTCATAAAGGGCTGCATGCCTATTTGCATTATTTCCGATGTAACACCTTCGGACATTACTGATAATAAAACGATTGTTTCCTTTTTCAACGCATTAACAAATTATGTATTCTTAAATTTATTTTAACAACCATCATTTAAACACAACTTCTTGATTACTTGAATAGTAAAAAATAAATAACGTAGGAGACGTTTTATGGCGGTGGTTACAATAACGTCATTTGAACAAAAATAGTTTAAAATATTTCGAAAATTTTAATTACTTTAACAGATAAAAATCTCCCACATTTCAATACTTAAAATTGGCGAATGAGTCGTTTTATGCAAAGAGCTCTTTAAAGTTCAAAGTAGGGACGTCTATCCATTGTCTGTTTTTGGTATCCAGAAATGGGTTGACAGAAATGTCATGTTTCCTTTTCGTTTGTTCCTCCTCGAGGAGGCGAAATCTTCAAAAGACACACCTGAAGGTCCTACCGACTAATACACCTCCACGAGTAGGAAGATCAGCCTGGACGTTATATATCTCGGCGAAAGTCTACATGCCATGGATTAGACATATATATATACTTACGACCATAGACAAGAAAGGTTTATAGATGTAGATGAAGTACACGATCTTCTGCGCTATCTCTCGAGGGGAGTGTACACTAGAAGAGGAAAGGCGCGAAATTTAAATAGGCCAGAGTTTTGTTATAGCTTGTAAAGTCGTTTAAATGGTAAAGTTAAAATTGTTCAATTAATATTTAGTATCGTTTAATAGACGATTATTTACGTTTGTTCGATTGTAAATAATGTTTAAATACACTTTTCCAATGTTTTTATTGAATTTGCCATTAATATTATTAATACGCGTGCACCCTTGGAAAGTACATATACATTCACATCATAGATTAGAAATTATAAATCCGTATTCTATGATTCTGCATTCCCGTTGAGGTGCATTGATGTTTGAGATTATACGTTTGAAAGCACATGTCAATTAAATGAAAATATTTAAAAAATTGTAATTAAACATTGTTTATAATCAAATAAACATAAATAATCATCAAACAAACAATAATGAATATTAATTAATCGATTTCAAGTAAAAAAATCTTTTTTGTACAAACCGGGGGGGGAGCTAAATTGAGAGTGAAAATTAGTTTAATTTTTTATAATTAAACGAAAGACGAACAAACAATTATTTCGGACGAACAATTACGAACGAACCACGATTACAGACACTTAAAATTAAAAAAGTTAGAAAAAAGAAACTAGGGGTATAACTTTTCGGTCCTGAAAGTATTATGTATCACTAATCTATGGTGCTCTGTTCTCTAGAATTACAATGCAATGAGATCTATGGACAATGACTCACAGTGACTACAAAAACAAACAACTGACATTTACAACTGTCAGAAATATCAGCTGACAACTTGTTTTTATTTTGTTTATTTATGTGTATATACATATATATATTTATACTGATCCCGTTCGATGTATGTTGAAATTGTTGTATAAATAATTAGAGGAATTATTTTGAAAATACATTACAAACTATCTAAAGGAAGTAAATACTTAAAATAACTATCCGGCGCTCGAAATCGATATCTGATGTCGTCTCATAGTGACAGTGAATTAAAAGAGTATCCTTACACAGAACTAACACAGACCCGTTTCGATTTTAAGGCGAAAGCAAAACGTAAATTTTCTGGTAATTCTTCACTTAAAAGTTTTAAAAAATACTATGTAAAAAAATCAAAATCATTGAGCATTAATCAGCGTCGATTACTCACAGCTGCACAAACCAATAATACAGAAATGGTTCAAAAGTTGTTAGAATTAGACGTTGATCCAAACACTGCTGACATTCAATGTCGAAGTGCACTTCATTGGGCAGTAAGCAGAGACTATAGTGACGTCGTCAGACTCCTGTTGGACCATGGAGCTGACCCTAACCAACAGGACATAGTTGGTAACACGCCATTGCATCTTGCAGCATGTACAAGCAATTTACGAATTATAACTACACTTCTAAACGCTGGAGCCAATGTGAGATCTTTAGATATGGAAGGTAGAAATCCTCTTCAACTTGCAGAAAGTAAACTTCAAATTTTAAGACACAGTTGGAGATCAGGCACAATAGAGATGATTCAACTGCGAACTCAGCTTCAACAGGTAATATTTTTTATTAACTCCAAAAGGAAGTCAATAAAAAATAGGCGAGATAGGTTGGTAGGACACCTTCTCAGGCATGAAGGTCTAGTCAGAGACATATTAGAGGCAGAAACAGGAGTTAGGAGGGGTAGAGGTAGACCTAGATTAGATTACTGTTCGCAAATAGTTAAGGATGTGGGCTGTTCTAGTTTTAGGGAAATGCGAAGTTTAGCTCAGGATAGGAAAGAGTGGAGGTACGTGTCCAACCAGTCTTAGGACTGATGACCTTATGATGATGATGATGAACTCCAAAAAAGTAAATGTCTTATGTTCAATTTAAAAACTTATGATTGTGAAGTTTGTAAATTTAAAAAAATTTGTTATAATACAAAAATTTTAATGTTTGCATGAATTTGCAGAATCAAATTCAAGACAGTAAACAGTTTGAAATGAGACAATGACATAAAGTCAAAAACAACTCTTCATTGCAAAAGTTAGTTTTGAATTCACAATATATACATCACAGTCGATGGGTATAGTTTAATAAAAAGTCTGACGTTCCATAAAATATTACCAAATACTGAAGGGGATTATAACAAAGGACTAAATTTTTAGCATAAAACAAAAAATAACATTTTTATTACCAGAAAGTAATGTAAACGTTGTCGTAAAGGTGAAAGTTGTAAAGTATATTAAAACTAATATTTATGTTCTTTAAATGAATTTTGAAAATTCAAACTATTTATATTTATGATGACCTTAACTGCTATTTATGTATCTTCAACTATAATTACTAGGAGGCACAGTTCGTTTAGCATCCCATGCGTATTTGTACTACAGCAAAGATCAATTCGTCACTTCTGGCGTATTTTTCGGCCCAGTTTTTCTTTCCGTTATGCTCTTCTAATTGCAATTAGTTAAGATATGTAATATGATCATATTAGTGAAAATTAGCACAAATGAGCAAGCAAACATCACGGTTATTCCGTGAATATGTAACTCAATTCAACATACGAGATCAGAAAATTCGCGGTTTATTTTCATAATTAAACATTCAACAATGTAGAAAATTCGGAAGTCACTGATTCTTCCTTTATATTTTATACGGAAACCTAAAATATTTTTTTTCTGTAATGTTTCGTTTAACTTAATGGAAACTGCACTTTTCAAAATTTTAATTTTAGAAGTAAGGAAGGTAACTTATTTTTGACGCATCTTTCCAGCAGTATCATTCAATATACTATCACATGATCCAAAAAAAATTACATAACTAGAATTGCTCCTTCAAAACATTTCATGTACATACAGTTAACAATTCGCAAGTTAATGCGATGTTTCTAATTGTGAATTACAAGTTTTTTTAACAAACAGTTATGATAATCAATAATAAACTTTACTTCTGGTAATTGTAATTAAATTAATTAATAATTTAGTCAACCACTGTATGAAGATGTCACTTTAGACAAGCAATTAAAATTATCATAAAAACCTTTGTTACCATACTTAGAATGTTCAGTTTAAATAACTGAAAAAAAGAGTTCTTTAATTAGAACTCAATTTTAAATTACGGTAACCTTCTGAAAATCCATCTAATCTGATTATATGGAATTCATGCCTAATTATTTGGAACTAAACTCGATTAATTTTTTGGAAATATGAAACTAAAATATAACGTAAGCATGTTATTGTTACAGCAAGTTAAAACTTTAATGATTTTTTTAGATTATCGACATAATGATTTCGTTATGGAAGCACAAAGAAGCCGTCAAATGGGGCCATCACAGAGAGAATGTTGATGATTTAGAACTAATGAAGCATTCTATCAAGTATGGTGAAGAGGTTGACGACCAAATGACAAAGTTGTTAACAGAGCTCCAGGAATTTAAAATATAATTTTAATTTTATACATATATCATTACTTGTAATAATTATTATTTAAGGAGTTAAAACCTTCTAATGTGTATCTTATTATAACAAAAGTAACACATTACATAAACTTGAAATTTTATTCTTTTCAAAATATCAGTAACAGTTTAAAGGCAAATAACAAAACAGCCAACATTTTAACAACATATTTCATATGTGAAAGTAGGTAGTCCAAAAACAAATAGTTACGAAGTATATATATATCACAGCCCATTACAATCAATAGTAACAAAGCCACTTGACATAAAAAAGTAAATTTACACTGTACATAACACAACAATTTAGATTTTACAATAATCTTATTATATTTCTTCCTGAGAAAAGATAAATGTGAACAAAACAATTGCCACCACGTCCCATTACTTCCCCTAAAGACCAGTCAAAGAAAAAAGAAATGAAGAAACTTGTAAATGATTGCAATAAATACAACCAATCAGATGACATAAATAACTTAATTTTAATAAAAAAATTAAAGAGAGTTTTATATGAAACATACAGATAGTTATTCATTTTATTTCATTTAAAAAAAAATGAGGAATTTTCATAAATTTTTATGTACTTGGGAAAATCGCACCTTGTAAATCAAATTGTGATTTTTTTTCTGTGATTGAAATCGTTTTTTCTAGCCTTTTTTTTTAGTAAAAAGTGAATGTTACATTTTAAGGTGTTCTGTAATACCAAACTCAAGTATATCTTAACAGCATTTTTGTTTACCTTTAGGGCTATTTATTATTAGTATCTGCAATTTCCAAAAATAATAAGTAATAAATTGTCGCAATCGACCCCTTTTTACTATGATAATAAAAATTAAATAAAACGTTAATAAAACAAAATCAGAACATCGCCTATAAAGCTTGTATAAGTTACAAACCAAAAATCTTCACTTCACTTTTTTTTGACTGGTTTACTACAAATATAAACCATAACATTAGTATAACAGAGTATAAAATCAAATCACAAATTACTTAAATTTTACAAAGTTCGCAAGTACTAGGTAGTAACCTTACAGAGAGGATCCATAAAGAAATATCTACAATTTTATAACATAACAGTATAATGAAAAAAAAATTCTGCCCAAAAATATGCCGTCGTTTCTTATAGCTTATATACAGTACATATTGAGCAACGTCTGAAACTAAATGTTTTAAATACAAAAGCAAAGTACCACTACATATCTAATTAAAAATGGAATGTCATTAAATAGCACAGCAATTTTAAAAGGAAGAAAATTTGACATTGGCAAACTTGTCATTTACACAAAAATAATTTGCTTAATAATTTCCCCTAATTTACTAGGAAAAACTTAATTAGAAGCAGTGATTTATTTTTCAAAAGAAAAAGCATTTAAACAAGAAATATATATATACATTATTTATAACATCTTCTAATTAAGTTGACTACAAAAATGTACAATATTTTAGGCAATTTATACATATTATTATCTAACCCAAATAATATATTAGCCATTTTATTTAGCTACTGGTCCTAAATATAACCGCTTTCAAAGAACGAAAAATAAAAATTGTGTGAGGAACTTTAAATAAATAAACCGTAATAAATATTATGTATAATAGTTGCAATATTTTATAAACATCGAGCTAATACGTATCTCAACTATTACAAGCAGGCCTAGCGACGGGGGGGGGGGATTATGAGTTAGATGTATCTGCTCGCAGACGATAAAGCGACCCCTTGTAAAAAATTAGTTAATAAAATTAAAAATAGCAAATGTTTTAAAGCTACATATAATAATTTTAAAAAGACCACATAGGAATCAGAGAAACGAGCGTCAGCATTTTCTTAGCTAGGCCTGATTACAATTAATTTACTAATTGCTAAACAATTTGTAACTATCGCGTTTGTTTCATTGAAAATAATATTTCCTTGTGTTAACATAATCAAAGATAAAACAAAAAATGTTTTAAGCTGCATGCCGTATTTCAATAATTATNCTTCCAGTAGTTGACTGATACACACTACCAACCATAGAGAAATAGGCACTGCGGCGGGAAGCAGCGCTATACCATGAACCTAATCTAGTACGCATTTCTGCTGTTTCTAAAAGAACTTCATCAGGAAAATCCACGTTCGCAGGATCAACCGAGGTTTTTGTACTCATTTTTGGTAACTGTTGCTGTTGCCGTTCATCGAGAGGTAAGTAGGATACTTTTCCTGTATAACTACGTAAACCTATGAGTCGCGCTAGCGACCATAAGGTAAATCTCTGGCCACCAAGCATTCGTAAACTTTCGCTTTCGATATCAATATCCGAAAGCAAACCCCAACCTGCCGACAGGAATGAAAACATAATTTTGGAACGTGTCTCAACTCGAACAATATCCATCGGTTCAACATGTCGCTTCACTAAAGCTAAGGTAGCGGCAAGAGTTGGATGTGGATGATAAGGTTCAGAAAACTGGTGTGCGATGGTACGAGCAAGCCCATTTCCCGAACCACTAGGTATAATGGCAAAAACAATGCGATTTAGAACTTCCAACCAGTCGGGTCTTTCAAACACACCATTAAGGACCTCGAATAATATACCATCACCTCCCACCTATAAAAGAAAGTACTGCTAAAATGTAAAGGAAACAAATATCAACTTTATAATTACTGAAAACGTCACCGTCAACATACAGCTATTTCATCACGCTGAATGTGCGTCTTAAATAGCAATAAATCAGTACCAATAACTCCATCCGCCCCCTTTTTAATTAAAAAACTACAAAGTGCTTTTCAAAAGAAATCTGAACTCCACGAAAAATTTCCAATAATATACAGTGTAAAACATCTTTCATATGCCTATTTATTAATCAAATGCATTAATAATTAGGGGCTTTTGTTTTACTGGTTAGTATTTCAATTCCTTTTGGCTATTTTTTAAATCTATATGGTCAGTATCCCCTTTGGTGATCAGTATTTAAACATAAACAGTTAGTATTGAAATATAAATGGTCAGTATTCAAATAAAGTCAGTATTTAAATAAAAATGGTCAATACATACTTAAATGCAAGTGGTTTAACCGTAGAGATACAACAGAGCGCATAATCCTCATCTACCTCTATACTAACTCTACCGCAACACTAGGAAAGAGAACGCTGGCGAGAAGCCCATTGTTACGCATGCGTACTGTATAGTCGCAACTCTTGCTATCCCGTATCGATATAACGTGAATGCATTAAAAGCTATTTTACTCCAACCTTTTTGTTATATTTACTTATACATACTTTTACTTTTATCAAAGTGACTTGCAAATGTTTGTACCAATGTTTACTTACTTTTGAACCGCGCAAACAATTCCTCGCGTTATTAGAAACATTAAGTCGGGAATATCAGCTATTAAGGGTTAAGGGTTAATCTTAAACAAAACGATCAACATGAAAAATATAGGCGAAATAGGATATATAAAATGCAAAATTGATTAATTGGTATTAGTAGTGTCATATAATAGTTTCAACATTATTCAATCATCCAGATTGCGTAAAGTCAACTACCCACCGGAGCCGAAGATGATCTGCCGGGCCTGAGCCTCTCGGCACCATTCTCTCTCGCTTCTGACATCGCGCTAGCGGTATTTATGATACTGTTTCATTTTTTAAGATCTTGTTGAAAGATCTAGCACTCAGTTTTAATAGAAGTTTAAATATTACCATATTAAAAAAATAAAACGCATTTTTTGTCATCCCTTTTACTTAACTGTAAATACAACTTACCTACCGGAAAATATATTAGTAAACGAACTTTCTCCAATACCAATCCAACTAAAGTCGTAATGAGAAATGTGTGAATATGAAGCAATTAAAGGAAACCACTAAATATAAATCCGGGCTTCTCTTAAAAACTGTCCATCCTCACAAGAAGAGGTTCCGCTGATGATAACAATCCCACAATACCTAACGACGACCTCTTTTTGGCTTTTCTTTCCGGGTTTCCACAAACACCGGGGTCCTTCGATCATGGAACCAAAATCCGAGATAATCCCGCGAAAATTTCAGCCTGTATGGGGCCATATTCCACATGCTCACCATCCACTGTAATGTAACCTTGTTCACTTACATCTGGTTCGATGCGAAATGCCAGACAAGGTACCAGCTCTATACTTCCACTTGCGTCTTTCGAAGTTGCGTGTGCTCCTGTGCTTAGGCCCAGCAAAAAATGCAATAATTGCGATCGAGTTGCTTTTGCATGCACTATTAACAACCATATGATACCATCATTCAATTTAGATCGAGGAGCAAAAAGGCAATCTTCACCCAAATGACTTTGGTAGGATGCATGCACCATAACAAACTGACCTTCAAGACAAACCCAATTGTCTGGAACTGGTGCGGTCAGTGCTGCCACTTGAGACCCAGGACCATACACCAAAGGAGTCTTAGTGCCGTTTTCCTCATCCTCCTCATTATTACTTCCAGTAGTTGACTGATACACACTACCAACCATAGAGAAATAGGCACTGCGGCGGGAAGCAGCGCTATACCATGAACCTAATCTAGTACGCATTTCTGCTGTTTCTAAAAGAACTTCATCAGGAAAATCCACGTTCGCAGGATCAACCGAGGTTTTTGTACTCATTTTTGGTAACTGTTGCTGTTGCCGTTCATCGAGAGGTAAGTAGGATACTTTTCCTGTATAACTACGTAAACCTATGAGTCGCGCTAGCGACCATAAGGTAAATCTCTGGCCACCAAGCATTCGTAAACTTTCGCTTTCGATATCAATATCCGAAAGCAAACCCCAACCTGCCGACAGGAATGAAAACATAATTTTGGAACGTGTCTCAACTCGAACAATATCCATCGGTTCAACATGTCGCTTCACTAAAGCTAAGGTAGCGGCAAGAGTTGGATGTGGATGATAAGGTTCAGAAAACTGGTGTGCGATGGTACGAGCAAGCCCATTTCCCGAACCACTAGGTATAATGGCAAAAACAATGCGATTTAGAACTTCCAACCAGTCGGGTCTTTCAAACACACCATTAAGGACCTCGAATAATATACCATCACCTCCCACCTATAAAAGAAAGTACTGCTAAAATGTAAAGGAAACAAATATCAACTTTATAATTACTGAAAACGTCACCGTCAACATACAGCTATTTCATCACGCTGAATGTGCGTCTTAAATAGCAATAAATCAGTACCAATAACTCCATCCGCCCCCTTTTTAATTAAAAAACTACAAAGTGCTTTTCAAAAGAAATCTGAACTCCACGAAAAATTTCCAATAATATACAGATAGTCAGAGTTCTATCAGATATTTTGGCATACAATTTTGTAAGTGGCTAAGTAATCAAAAATTACTTACTAATACACACCAACGATTAATTACAAACTCTGTCAAACTTGCAATAAAATCATTTCATCATTGAAACATTTCCACTAAGATGAGAAACAAACAAAAAAACAGAATGTTAAAGCTTTAATGTAAAATTTAAAAATACATCACATTATGTTTAATAAAAATATTTTATACTTAATTTCATTCGATATTTCATAAACTGCATTCTTTACTAAACTATTCAATATTTACCTTTTTGTAATGGGTACCAGTTTTAAAAAAGGTAAAGATTTTGTGTATGTATACGTATATGATACAGCATAAGTATACCTCTTTTTTGATTACTTTTTGATGTTTTTGGAAAATTTTTGATTACTTGCACATTTATATAACATAATCTAATTACCTAGTTCTTGATTAAGTAATCCTATTTCCATGCAACGCAGCTAGTTAATAATTTAGATTATCGACTTTAGAAAAGGTGATATTTATTTTAAATTATAATTTAAGGAAAAGTTTCTTTTATCAGGAAAATGGCAAATGCAAAGTTGCAATATGTTAAACTACGTGTTTTCTTTTTACCTTCCTCCGTACACAATTGAAATTTTAATTAAATAGGACATTTGTGAATTTTGTTGTAGTTCCTCGAGTATATACTCAAAAACAAAATGTATGTAATGACATGTAAAACATCTTTCATATGCCTATTTATTAATCAAATGCATTAATAATTAGGGGCTTTTGTTTTACTGGTTAGTATTTCAATTCCTTTTGGCTATTTTTTAAATCTATATGGTCAGTATCCCCTTTGGTGATCAGTATTTAAACATAAACAGTTAGTATTGAAATATAAATGGTCAGTATTCAAATAAAGTCAGTATTTAAATAAAAATGGTCAATACATACTTAAATGCAAGTGGTTTAACCGTAGAGATACAACAGAGCGCATAATCCTCATCTACCTCTATACTAACTCTACCGCAACACTAGGAAAGAGAACGCTGGCGAGAAGCCCATTGTTACGCATGCGTACTGTATAGTCGCAACTCTTGCTATCCCGTATCGATATAACGTGAATGCATTAAAAGCTATTTTACTCCAACCTTTTTGTTATATTTACTTATACATANTTTAATAAAAATATTTTATACTTAAATTCAACAGTCTTCAAAAAATTATTAAAAATTAATTAAAAATTTGGTAAATGTCTAGATGATGGCCCCCACCCCCGAAGGATCGACAGATGAGGTCTCCCCCACCACTGTACCATAAAAAGTTCGTGGCGGTCTCACCCCCATAAAAAGTTATGGGGGCTAGATGGAAATAGGGGTAGGGGGGGAACGAAAGAGGGTGGTCACCTGAGTAAAACCCCATAAAAAATTTGCCGCGGTCTCATCCCCATAAAAAGATATAGGGGTTGAAAGTTGATTGTTTTGACAATTTACATACACTATAATTCAAATAAAATTCAATAAAAAAGGGGGTGGTCACTTGAACAAAACCCAATAACCTAACCTACCCTATTGATAAAGATATTTAAATAATGTTTTATATAACTTTCTCAATATTTTTATGTATTTTTCCATTAATCTTACCTTTGAATATTGTTTAAGAATGACTATATAAATATTTACAAGCCTAGAAATGTATAAAAATTGGCATATTTATTAACTTTGAACCTCTATAACTTTTTATGGGGGTGAGACCGCCACGAACTTTTTTTTGGTACAGTAGTGGGGGAGACCTCCTCCTTCGATACCCCCATCCTCACCCCCTTCGGGGTGGGAGTCATCATCTAGACCTTGACCAAAAATTTTACTAATCGGGATTCAAACGATAAAAAGATCAATGGCTATAATCCAATGTAACTTTTCATCTTTTAAATTTGCAACTAAACTGATTGTGAGTGCTTCAAATATGTTCAGAAGAAAGTCGACCTGAACAATTTTCAATTCAAAATACTTATAAATTATTATTTATGAAAGTAAATAAACAATTCTACTTATACATAAATCATTACAAAAAAACTTTTGAGCTGAGTTGATTGAGTATACTTTCAATGCATTTTTATATTGAACCTATATAATATCCTTCACACATATACCTGTGTACCTATGTATAGTATTGTGTTTCAATATTTCTACAAAAAAAGTAAAAAATTTTCAAAAAAAATTAAATATAAGCAATTATACATATTTGCACCTATGGAAATATGTATTAAAATAGTAGTATAAAAACGACACGGGTAATTATAGATAAACACAAGCTTTTACAAATTCTGTAGATAAATACTATATCCACAAAATTGATAATTTTATCAGTTTATTTTTAAAAAAATTTAATCATTCCTTACAGTTAATTAATTTTTACTTATAATACTCAATTATGTTATACATACAGATAAAACAATACAAAAAATCCTAGTGTCTCTTTTGTTCTGATAAAACGATAAAATGAAAGCAATTTTAAATGTACCTATACTTCAGTAAAGAAAGATATGAATAAATATAATTAACTTACAGCAACAACTGTGGTCCACTGAAAAACATTAGCAGTTCTCATAAATTCTCGAGCATAGTTTGCATATTTTGTTATTTGCAAATCATAAGGAACCTCAGCTTCTTGCAAGATAGGAACTACTTTTTTCTGAAAGAGAGCACGACCTCGTCCTGCTCCACTCTTAGGATTTAATAAAAACAGAAGTCTCCTGTCCTCTTTCAATGGAATAATTGCCCCAAATTCGAAAATATTCTTTTTCTCAATTGATTCACCATTTAATAGTTTCTTTATAACTGTTCTCCATCTCTGCGCTTCTTTATAATTATCCTCATACTTATCAAATGATCGAAAACGTAAAGTTATTATTGTTCGATCCCTATGTATGTTACTTCCATTATTTTGTAGAATGTATGCATAGATATACAAATAAGCACTTATATCTTCATCATCATGATCACCAGATTTTTCATCAACCACTTTAATAGAACTTGTTCGTGCTAAAGACTGACATGCACAACTGTTTTTCTGCTTTTTACTTCGTAAACAACGGCATCCTATTATATCATTAATCGAAATCAACTGTTCCTTTATTAATTCTTCGCTTTCATTTATTAAACATAACCCTAATTTTGAAAGTTTTACACGGAAGACTGATTTCTTCTTAGATAAAACGTAAAAAGTTTCTTCAAGCAACGTTTCACTTTGATTTAAATTTTCACATTTTTCTTCTCTAGATCCTGCCATATTTTATAAGTAACGCATTTTAAGTTCAATAAGAATTATTTAAATTACCTACTAGACATGAAATTGTTTTTGGACTTTATGTTAGACATACTGAACGTAAAAATTTACTAATTATTAACAACACATCAAAAATACAAGCACTAAACTCAACGACTATTATTATACTAAAATCTTAATCTTATCATAACTAAAATTAATCAAAATACTCGTTTTTTNAAGAGAGACGTATATAGAACTATATTTCTAATGGGCCATTGCGGCCGGAAAATTTAGTAGGTGTTATTTCTATGAGATGGCAGGACGGTCGAGAATCGACATTGTCGAGTTATCGGGCGGGCACAAGTTTCGTCACGTAGAAGTGGGAGACGTACCTACCATCTCCCTTCCGTATGAAAATTTCGGTTTATGTTGACAAACAGACCAAATATCTGAGTCACATAAAAAAAATATGGAATTGATACGCCTTTGACTATAAACTTTCACTAAAGATTTTAGTTTTGTATAAAGGCCATAAGACGATAAGCATAGTGAATCGGTCCCAGAGGTATATCTGGATTAGGGTTACTGTCGTCCCGCCACTTTGCATTCATTATGGAGAATAGAATACTCGGAATACTCTTTCTGTAAATGCTGAAGTGGCCGGAACGGACAGCAAAAGTGACACTACTTTGAACAGATTTGGATAATCAGGTTGTTCCGTAAATATGGTTCTGCTTTTTACTTCGTAAACAACGGCATCCTATTATATCATTAATCGAAATCAACTGTTCCTTTATTAATTCTTCGCTTTCATTTATTAAACATAACCCTAATTTTGAAAGTTTTACACGGAAGACTGATTTCTTCTTAGATAAAACGTAAAAAGTTTCTTCAAGCAACGTTTCACTTTGATTTAAATTTTCACATTTTTCTTCTCTAGATCCTGCCATATTTTATAAGTAACGCATTTTAAGTTCAATAAGAATTATTTAAATTACCTACTAGACATGAAATTGTTTTTGGACTTTATGTTAGACATACTGAACGTAAAAATTTACTAATTATTAACAACACATCAAAAATACAAGCACTAAACTCAACGACTATTATTATACTAAAATCTTAATCTTATCATAACTAAAATTAATCAAAATACTCGTTTTTTCATTTTCAACCTTGATATGGGCCCCTTTGTCTTGGCGGCCTTGAGCTTGGTTTCAATATTATTACTATTTATTATGTCATGGTAAATACATGGGTAAATACCAAAGTCAAGTTACAGTAATAGATATAGCCGGTTGATTTATTTCGTTAATAACCGGTTATTTTCATTCGAATGTTTTTAAATAATATGGTAATCTTTTAGGTGATGAGGTGTCTATAAATTAAATGTTCAAACACTAATTGATTATTTAGTCACAAATAAAATGATTTACGTTACAAATTTTCATGCTTTCAAAATAATTAGCACACGTGAAAATAATTTAAATGTATATTAAAAATTTAACTTTAATATTTTCTGTTGGCTAATGATAGGCAACCACCAGCGTCTGAAAGGAGAAGAGCAGCAAAATGTATAGTTATTTGTGAAATAAAGGTTTATTTAACTTAACACCAACGAAAATCAAAATTATCGTAAATTTTATCTTTTCTCTTCACAAACATTCACTACGATCAATGAATGGATTTCGTTTAATTAGCACGTAGTAAGTATTTAAACATCTTACAAACAAATATAGACAAAATAAGCAAGAGAAATTTATATTTTTGGCTATTTAAACCTATCTTCAACAACCTTATAAATAATTATGATTCGATATTTCATAAACTGCATTCTTTACTAAACTATTCAATATTTACCTTTTTGTAATGGGTACCAGTTTTAAAAAAGGTAAAGATTTTGTGTATGTATACGTATATGATACAGCATAAGTATACCTCTTTTTTGATTACTTTTTGATGTTTTTGGAAAATTTTTGATTACTTGCACATTTATATAACATAATCTAATTACCTAGTTCTTGATTAAGTAATCCTATTTCCATGCAACGCAGCTAGTTAATAATTTAGATTATCGACTTTAGAAAAGGTGATATTTATTTTAAATTATAATTTAAGGAAAAGTTTCTTTTATCAGGAAAATGGCAAATGCAAAGTTGCAATATGTTAAACTACGTGTTTTCTTTTTACCTTCCTCCGTACACAATTGAAATTTTAATTAAATAGGACATTTGTGAATTTTGTTGTAGTTCCTCGAGTATATACTCAAAAACAAAATGTATGTAATGACATGTAAAACATCTTTCATATGCCTATTTATTAATCAAATGCATTAATAATTAGGGGCTTTTGTTTTACTGGTTAGTATTTCAATTCCTTTTGGCTATTTTTTAAATCTATATGGTCAGTATCCCCTTTGGTGATCAGTATTTAAACATAAACAGTTAGTATTGAAATATAAATGGTCAGTATTCAAATAAAGTCAGTATTTAAATAAAAATGGTCAATACATACTTAAATGCAAGTGGTTTAACCGTAGAGATACAACAGAGCGCATAATCCTCATCTACCTCTATACTAACTCTACCGCAACACNATATTAGAGGCAGAAACAGGAGTTAGGAGGGGTAGAGGTAGACCTAGATTAGATTACTCTTCGCAAATAGTTAAGGATGTGGGCTGTTCTAGTTTTAGGGAAATGCGAAGTTTAGCTCAGGATAGGAAAGAGTGGAGGTACGTGTCCAACCAGTCTTACGACTGATAACCTTATGATGATGATGATGACTTATTATCGATTTTTCCCCAGAATATCTTTTTCTAGTTTTGCACGGTCACTGCAATGAGAAACACTGGCGACATTAATAGTAAGTGATAGTAAGTGTGACATCGCTCTAAACGGGTGAAAGCCGGAAATAATGACAAGTCGGTACTTATCTATAAGTGACAAGACTTCTATATAGACTAAAATTGAAATTATCTATGATTGATAAAGTTAAAAAGGATCATAAGATTACGGATTGAAAGCCGTGCCTGTCTTTTGTTAATCGAAGTACGGAAGTGAGATTTCTACTAATTTTGTTAAGCATTATTCCCTTCAACTTTCGGGTATATATAAAAACAATAATAGCGCTAAGATGATTCTATGAATGTGGGTCCGTGCAGATTCTTTTAAAAAGATTTAAAAACACGGTCGGGCTAAACAGGAGACACTTCCTATAATAGTATGCACGGAAATTATTATCTATGACGGAAGTATTCTATGTAACCCACCTTAACCTATTAACATTAAGAACTTCGAAATAAACATTAACAATTAATAAAAAAACATAATTCTATTTGGTTTAGGTTTTTTTTAAATCTTATAATTGTTTTAAAGTACATGTGATATATTTATGTAGTTACCTAATTTTAACAACAATAACCAAAAATTGTGTGAAATGTCTTCCACAATAAACAATAAAACTATTCTTCCATGTACCAGTCATGAAGCAGATGACCAAAAACCAGTTAATTCGTTACTAATAAAGGAAACAGAATTCAACGAAATCCTCCATAACAGTGTGGTGAAAAGCTTTGTAGATCTTCATCAAGAACGAATTAAGAACCTTAGAAAACAATTAGATTATTTAAAAGAAACTGAATGGAAATATGAACCTATAGATAATTACATAGGCCAAAGCCAATAACGTAATGTATGATATCTTTAAATGTTTGTGTAATAAATACTGACAAATCAATAAGATTATGAGAACTATTAAATAAATTACAAAAAGATTCTATAACATTTGACAAGGAAATCTGTTTGCAATTTACAATTAGTGCCAGTTTTATTAGAAAAGGTTTCTAAATTCTGATATAAATAGGTAGGTAATTGTTTATTTTTTTTTAATTCTTATTAAAAATTGATAACCAATTTTACCCATGGTCTTGTAGTTATTTAAAAAAAGCGACAGTTGCAATACTTTTAAAGATCAAAATATAAAATATAGGATATCTACAATATACTAAAATAAGGTAAAATTAGTTTAAAATAAAAAATTTGGCGCCATCAAGGTTGATAGCAGAATTTATAATTAATAAAAACCAATAAATAAATATTAAGCACTTAACAGTGTCCTTTCAAAAACAATATTGAAAAAAGTGTTTTATTTCTAATGGACCATTGCGGCCGGAAAATTTAGTAGGTGTTGTTTCTGTCAGATGGCAGGACGGTTCGTCACTTAGAAATGGCAGACGTATTTACCATCTAGCATCTGTACGAAAATTTCGGCTTATGTTGACAAACAGACCAAATATCTGAGTCACATAAAAAAAATATGGAATTGATACGCCTTTGACTATAAACTTTCACTAAAGATTTTAGTTTTGTATAAAGGCCATAAGACGATAAGCATAGTGAATCGGTCCCAGAGGTATATCTGGATTAGGGTTACTGTCGTCCCGCCACTTTGCATTCATTATGGAGAATAGAATACTCGGAATACTCTTTCTGTAAATGCTGAAGTGGCCGGAACGGACAGCAAAAGTGACACTACTTTGAACAGATTTGGATAATCAGGTTGTTCCGTAAATATGGCTTGCCATTTTTCTGTGCAATATCTATTATTGATGTAAAAGTACTCTGAATTTCGAATAATCGCTTCCAAAATTACGATGTTTACTTAAGACCTTAAATAAAGTATTTTTGCGTACTTTATGTGTCTTGTAAAGTATAACGTATGCACAGTCGAAATAGAGTACAATACTTTACAATAAAGTACGGGTGGCAACCCTAATCTGCATTTTGGAAATGACAAATTTATTTCAAAATTCTTTTAGAACGTTATCGTAAAGAAAAAAGTTATTTCGGATAAATCGCCTTTCGTTAATGATTACTATAAAGATTATGAGCTGTTATTTTTTTTTTTCGAATAAAGCCCCTTGTGTCTATAAGTATAAATTTTATTCAAAGCGGTTAAGCCGCTTTTGAGAAAAAGATATTTTCTGATTTTTCACTTTTTGGATTTATTCAAAACCAAAAATAGATAGAGGTCTAAAATTTTCATGAGTACCAATATACCCTCAAAAAATAATNCTGTTACTTTTTTTCGAATAAAACCTTTATGTCACATAAATTATGTGTATAAGTATAAATTTTATTTAAATCGGTTAAGCCGTTGTTGAGATTTTTTTTTCTGATTTTCCACTTTTTAGATTTATTCAAAACCAAAAATAAATAGAAGT